TTTATTTCATCTCTGTCTCTCCCACAGACCAAATTCTCCATGAGAATAAGGACTGCAATCTCTCCGGTTCTCAGCTGTACCCCCACCCCACCCCAGGACCTGACATAAAAGTAGACACTCTATAACTATTTGTGGAACAAATGGGTCTTTCATCTCGTCCTCATCAGAACCCCGTTCTCAGACGTTCTTTCATCTCAGGCCTTTGCGTGAGTTGCTTCCTCTGCCTGGGAGGTTCTTTTCTTCCCCTCCCACCTGGGCTGATCCACACATCATTTAAGACTAAAACTCTAAGATTTGTCCTTGGCCTATTCATTTGAATTAGGGTTTCCCTCTGGGCTCCCCTAGTATCCCATACAGAACACTCTACCATACCATTTGAAAATTGAAAATTGCCAGGTAAAAGGAGAGATTATGAACAATAATGATCTACTCTTGCCTCTTCCCCAGGCCCTCCACACTCCAGCTGGCTCAAGGGCATCCACTCTCTGTCTTTCAAGCCACCAGGAGCCCCATTTCCCATTCATTCAATAAGCACTGATCAGACACCCACTGCGTTGTTTTCTTTCCTGCAGCCCTGGGGGGAGTTGGGGGAGGATTGGAGAAGGTAGGAAGGGGGAGACAGGATCCTTCCAAGCATCAGAAGATTTGAAGAGCATCAGAAGTTTGAAGCAAATGCCCAGCTACCCACCCCCATGGTACACATGGGCCCAGAGAAGAGGTGGGACTAAGCTATTCAGTTTTGTCCCTTTATTGAGCACTATGCTGGGGGCTGAGAGCAAGCAGAGAGCTAAGCCGCTTGGTACATGACCAAGTTTACTGCGTCTGTGGTCTGTCTTCCCACCCTGGAGCAACTCGAGGAACCATGATTGGTTGCCAGAGGAACCTCAGCCAAACCCAGGCCTCGCTGATCCTTTGCCCTGTGACCACGCCCTCCTGTGGAACGCTCCTCCCACTAGGGTTTATCAAGATAGGATGTAGCTGCAGCCTCCATCAGAATCACCTGGGGTAGGAGCAAGGGCTTATTAAGAAATGCCTATTCCTGGATTCCCATCTATGGATTATGGCTCTGCCTGTACGATCCTAGAATCTACATATTGTACAATAACTCCCATCATCCTGGGCACACTCAAATATGAGGACCCCTCTGCTTCCAGCTGTTGTTCCCTAGGATCCTTGGGCTATGCTGTTTTATGCCCAACCCTTACATGCCAGGCTGCCCACAGCTGCTCCATCCAAGTCCCTGGTCCTCTTGTACTCTCCATACCTATACACCCTTGTTTTTGTTGTTATTATTGTTAAATGCCATCAAGTCATTTCTAACTCATAGTGCCCCTGCATAGGATTTCTGAAGAGTGGCTGGTGGATTTGAACCGCCAACCTTGTAGTTAGCAGTCTAGTGCTGATCCTACAGTGCCTCACCAGGACTCCTATAGTATTCGAGGTCATGCCATGTCTGAGTGTTATTGGTCAACCAAGCATCTCGTTGCTGTTAAATGCCATCAAGTCAGTTCCAACTCATAGTGACCCTGTTTAGGGTTCCCAGGCTGTAAATCTTTGCAGGTGAAGAAAGCCTCATCTTTTTCTTCGGAGTAGCTGGTGGGCTCAAACCGCCAACCTTGTGGTTAACTGTCCAGCACTGATCCTACAGAGCCATCACACTCCTATGGCACCCTAGACCAGATTATCTCTGCCCTTGGATAGCCAATAGCACCCAGACTTGGCATGACCAAACAGATCCTACTACCTTTTGCCCACACCTCATACTTCTCCCTTACTTGTGGGGCCCACTCAGCAATCATCTGGTGTGTACCCAAGCCAGAAACCTCGGGTCATGCTTGACTCCCCTTTCTCTCTTCCTCCCTCATCTCAGCAACAAATCCTAATCATTTTGCTCCCTAAAGATGTCTTCTGTCTCCCTTTTTTCTCTCCCCCCAGACCACCGTGACATTCTCCAACTGGTCCCCTGCCTCTCTTCTTCCCTCTAAAACAATAGCATCAACAAAAAGCATTGCTGTCAATTTGATGTGTTACAAAGTAAAATGACTCTACAGGGTTTCTTGGTTACAGTCTTTACAGAAGCAGATCACCAGGCCTTTCTTCTGCAGTGCTGGTGGGTGGATCCAACTGTTAGGTTAGGAGCTGAGAGCTAGCTATTTGTGCCACCCAGGGACCTTTTCTTCCCTCTAGTCTCTCTATATCCAATTAATTCTCCAAAAGCTTTTGAAAAATGCAAATCTGACTGTAATTACCAACCCTTTAAAAGCCTTCAAAGTTTCTTCATAAACAAAGGGCCCTAACCTTTGACCCTACATTGCCTGGTCCCAGTCTCTAACTCCAGCCTCCAGACCTTTGATCATTCAGTGCTCCTGGCAGGAATGACCTTTGACTGACTCCTCCTTGCAACCCGACCTCACCTCACCTCCTCCAGAAAGCCCTCCCTGAACCCTCCCCTCCTCTCGACCCCCTTCCCTTGGTGTATCTGTAATGCCTTGAACAAGGATCTATTATTCTACTCACCACACTGTTATAATTATCGATTTGTCTGTCTCTGCTCTGCACTGGCCGGTGAGGTCCTTGAGGGCAAGGATGGTATTCCATTCATCTCTGTAACCCAGCCCCTGGCCTGGCGCCTGGCACCGAGGACACACTCAGCCAGTAGTTGGTGGATGAATGTGGAATGGGGAGGCACTTGAAGGAAATGAGAAAATGAGAGCCAGGAATGACCAAGAGAGGAGTGGGGGCAAGCCTGGCAGGAGAACTTGCCAGAGCAGATGTGTGGGAAGTGGGAAAGCGAGAACTTCCATTTACTGCATTCCTACAACTGATGGCCAGTCCTTGTGCCTGCTCTGTGTTTGCACATTTTGTCTCATTTCATTCTTGCAACAACAAATCAGGAAACTGGCATCAGAGAGCCGCAGCCACCTGCCCAAGGTCACACAGCCAGGTCTGGAGTGGAAATTAGGACTGTCTGCCTGAAAGCCTGTAGTCTGTCTGCTGGGCCACACTGCTCTCCAGGGAACAGGACCTTCTGGAAATGGACAAGGAGTGGGCCCAGCTCCGCCTCTGCCTTGCTGCACACCGGAACCTGCTTCCCACGCTCAAGCCCACAGCTTCTTTCTCCCAAGAGACCAGGGGCTGGGAAGCCAGACAAGGCTTTACCTGTTCCATCCTCCCCTATCTTTGGGGGTCCTTGGCTAGAGATATGCATGCCTCCTCAAGCAGGCTGCTGAATCCTGGTAGAGCCCAGGATGCCTGGGGAACGCAGGGGGCTCTGGGATGCTGTCTGGCTTCTGCAGGATCTGTCTCCCTCATCGTACTTGGCCCAGGCTGATATTAAGATTCATCTGCATTCCCCTCGCACCCGCCTGGCAGATGGTGGGGGAGGAGGCTGGGTGCATGCTGGGGGCTGCAGCCAGGGACCAAAGTGGGCCTCAGAGGGCCACGGCAAAGTGACCACCCGCTATGCCTCACAGGGAGGGGAGGGGGCAGGCAGCCCAGACTAGGGACCACTCCACATGCTGGGGGTACTTGTCACCCTCACAGTCTCCAAGGGCTGCTAGGATATGACCTTTGATTTTTCCAAAGATTAAAGGGGCCCTTGGGATTGCAGTGAGGAGACCTGAAATAAGGAGAGCTGGTGATAGGGGTGGACAGGTCCACCATTGGTAATCTCACATCAGGAACTTGGTCTTTCTCCTTGCCCCAGAGGTTTGCAGGGGCCCCATGGGACAGCAGTGCCATCGTCCAGGCTGACTAATCACTGAGCCACAAGAAGGGACGATCAGAGGAGCCGCCTCCAAGGAGGCCTTACCCATCCCTCCCCAGCATCTCAGGTTCCAGCGGCAGAATTCCGCCAGGGCCTCTGGTGACCTTTCCCACCCAGGGACCCAAAGAGAAGAGGAGAGGCAGAAGAAAGCTAAACGCTTCTAGTCACAATGATTGGACTGAGACATTGGGGGTGGAGGGGGGATTGCTCTAGCCTCTCTGAGAAAGGGAAAAGAGGAAAGGAACTGACGTTATAGTAAATGAAGTGCAGGCTAGACACCTAGAAGAACTTCCTTCAGCACAGAAACAAGTCTTACAGAACAAGATTGGCCTATGCAGAGAAACTACTTTGACAATAAGGAAGGCATTCTTTTTCCTCCATTAGAATGGGTTTGGGAAAAAATGACCTTTCCAAATTTCAGGCCTCCTGGGGAAGGGGAGGGCAGCATATTGTTCGGAAGGACTAATAGGTACCCTGTCCGAGGGGTGGAGAAGGTAGGGTCCCTATGCCCTGCTTATCATCCTCTCTCTTCGCCCTCAAAAGAGTTACTCCACCCCGCGCTTGGGGCTGCAGAATGAACGTCCCAGGTCCCCAGGCTGCAGGCCGGCAAGGGAGGAGTTAACTCCGGAGGTACCGGCTGGGCTCACGGTACCTGCAGCCGCCGCCGCCGCCGCGGCTGGTGGGAGGGACGAGGAAGCGGGAGCCGCCTGGGCTTCAGAAGCGCTCCAGCCTGGCTGGTGGCTGGGCGCTGAGCGGGGACCCGGGAGCGGGCGGTCGGGGCTCCGAGCGGCCAGGGGCGTCCGCCAGGGGGCGCGCCGCGACGGGGCGGGAGGGGCCGTCTGGTCTGAGGAACTGGCCCTGGGCACGGACGCGCGCGCGGGTCCCCAGCACATCTGGGCGAGAGCGGCGCAGCTGGAACCGAGAGGGGAGCCGAGCGCAGATCTGGAGCGGCGGAGCCACAGCACAGCTGGGGCCCTTCAAGGCGCTCGGAGAGCACATCTGGGACCTCGGGCAGGGGCCACCCTGCTTGCAGCTGGACTAGGGCAAGGGGGCGGTGGCTACACAGCTGGACCGAAGGGGGCGGGGTCGGTCCTGAGCGTTTGCAAGCGGGAGGGCCGCGAGCCGCGGGGGCCCGGAGCATGGGACCGCGCGCCTAAAGGAGCAGGGTGAAGAGGGGGCCTGGGACCCCGAAAGGAAAAGAGGCGAAAAAAGGGGACGAGAGGAGAAAAGGAAGATGCAACTGACTCGCTGCTGCTTCGTGTTCCTAGTGCAGGGCAGCCTCTATCTGGTGAGTGGTCTGCGGGGAGCCGGGTTCAGGGGCTAGGGCCCCGAGGATTGAGGGAAAGCACGAGAAGCTTCCGTGCCCAAAACTTTCTCCTTCCCCTCAACATCCTGGGTCTGGTGGGGAGACTAGAGGCCGAGGGAGAGGGCATGTCCGAGGCCGGAGACTGAACCGGAAGGGTTAATAGGGGCGGGGAAAGGGTGCTTAGCTGGCCCACCCACTCCGCTGCTAGCGGCGGGAGGTGAGATTAATACTAGGAAAAAGGCTGGGAGCCGGGTCGCCAAGGGTTACCCGACCTCTGCCCAGCGCCTGAGACGCGTGAAAGGGGGGTGGGCCGTGGAGCTGGTGACCCGCCGGGTCAGGGGGGCGTGGGCCTTTTAGCTGCCTTCGTGGACCCAGAGGGCCCCCGACTCTCCGTCCCTCAGCACCAGGAGCTGGTCTAAGGAGGTGGAGTAGCCCCGGGTCCCTCGCTCTTGCCTTCCCTCCCGCTCCCTCCCTCCCGCCTGTTGTTTTCCTCTCCTCTCCCGGCTGCGCGCAGCCGGAGCCCCACAGGACCCGGGCAGGCGGCTCCCGCCCCGGGCGCTAGCGGCAGCTTAGCGGAGCGCCCCGAGCCGGCTCCCTGAACGCCCGCTCCCGGCGGCCAGGACGCTGGGGCATCCCACCCCCGACCCCAGCCAGGGCTAAACTCCCCTCTGACCCTGCGCTCCCCCAACCCGCTCGCGGGAGCGCGCGTACACACAGAAATACACACATACAATCTTGTCTAGGAGAAGCGCCCGGCCGGCCCTACATCTGGATCTGCACCTTCTCTCTAAACAATATTCCCTTTTTCCTTCACCCCCTGGTTCACTGTGTTCACGAAGCTTCCTTTCTCACACCTCCATCCATGGCCCTTTTCTATCCCCTAGCAGTGTACCAGGGCAAAGTGTACACAGATTTGGGAGTCCTGATCCCCGCCCCAGGAGACTCCCCTACTCTACCCCACCCCTGGGGCCCCGGCCGGCAGGGCCAACCTGGAGTATGTGATGGGCATGGCCATGACACAGGCTTCTTTGGGTCTCCTCCTCAGATCCAGCCCTTCAGACATTCTCTCACCCTCGTCCCAGGTAGTGGTGGTGGTGGTTATGTGCCATAGAATCGGTTCCGACTCATAGCAACCATAGCGACCCTGTACCTGTACAGGGTTTCCGAAGTTGTAAATCTTTACGGCAGCGGAAAACCTCATCTTTCTCCCGCGGAACATCTGGTAGTTTCGAACTGCTGATCCTGAGGTTAGCAGCCCGATTCGTAACCACTACGCTACCAGAGGGTAAACAACAAATCTAGATACCGCCCAGCTGTAAGCTGATGTTCCTAGTGCTGGTAACTCAGGATGGTTGGTTACTCTCCTTCAAAGCTGAGCAAACACACATCAGGGAGACTTGCCAACTCCCTGATGCTCTCCAGAGTCATGGAAGTTTGAGCTGGGTCAGGCCGACCTGAGGTCTTTTCCACGGCTCCTTCAGGAAGTTTCCAGAGGTGTGGCCTATGGCCACTGCTGACCCAGCAAAGGCAGGGGAAGCCTCCATGTTTCATAAGAGATAACCGGTGGGAATGAGGCTTGGGTAAAAGAACGCATCTGGTCTGGGAATGTGCCCTGTAATGGGAGGGCTGACTTGTCTGTCTGTGACCTTAGCTTTGGAATGATGTAACCTCTGCGTCCTAGCGCCCTCATCTGCAAAATGGGAATAAGAAGAACTATCTCATAATGCAAGTGAAGTCTTGGCATGTCAGCATCATGGTTCCCTCTGCCATTCTGGATGTGGAGTCCACTTAGGTGTCCTCCTAGTCCTCCCGCCAAAACCTAAACTGCGTTTGTACTTGAAAGAGAATCTCACTGGAGTCACTTGCTTCATTGTCTGTGGATTCTCTTGGTGTCTGAGGATAGAAACTAACCTAGGATATGGTGGTGTCTCTACTACCAGACTAGGAAGTCCCTAAAGATGGTGACTGTACCTCTCCTGTCAAGCTGGGGACTCTCTCAGGAGGGAGATGGAACTTCCCTTTGACTCAGGGCTCCTTGAGGTTAGAGACTGTGCCTCCCCCATCAGCCTGAGAATTTCACAGAGGCCAGGACTCCACTTCTCTTAGAAGATTGGGGCTCTCTCAGTTCAGAGATAATGCTTCTGCATCAGATCGGGTTCTCCCAAGATCAAAAGCTGGGCTTCCCCAGTTAGACTGAGGTTAAGAACTATGCATCTCTGGTGGCACTGGAGAATATTCTCAATCATACTTACAGACTTTATACAGAGGCAGGACAGCGGGGAGAAGACCTGGGGATGATCTCCTTTTAACAGGAGATGGGACCATGAAACCAACTAGAGCGTGAGCTGGATCCCTAACACAAGTGGGCAATGTGTAGGGGGTTCCTTCAATGCTAATCAAAGGGGAAGAGACAGGGTCAGCCATGATGCTGCTTATGGGAAGCATGGAGCAGAAAGCCTGGGTCTTCTAGGGGCAGAGCTCTCACTTCTCCCAACTCCTTCCGTAGGTCATCTGTGGCCAGGATGATGGTCCCCCCGGCTCGGAGGACCCTAAGCATGATGACCGTGAGAGTCAGCCCCGGTCCCGGGTACCGCGGAAACGGGGCCACATTTCACCGAAGTCCCGCCCTATGGCCAACTCCACCCTCTTAGGGCTGCTGGCTCCACCTGGGGAGGCATGGGGAGTCCTTGGGCAGCCCCCCAATCACCCCAACCATAGCCCCCCACCCTCAGCCAAGGTAAAGAAGATCTTTGGCTGGGGAGACTTCTACTCCAACATCAAGACAGTAGCCCTGAACCTGCTCGTCACAGGGAAGATCGTGGACCATGGCAATGGTACTTTCAGCGTCTACTTCCGACACAATGCCACAGGCCAGGGCAACATCTCCATCAGCCTTGTGCCTCCTAGCAAGGCCGTGGAGTTCCACCAGGAACAGCAGATCTTCATCGAAGCCAAGGCCTCCAAGATCTTCAACTGCCGAATGGAGTGGGAGAAGGTGGAACGAGGCCGCCGGACCTCGCTCTGCACCCATGACCCAGCCAAGACCTGTTCCCGAGACCACGCCCAGAGTTCGGCCACCTGGAGCTGTTCCCAGCCCTTCAAAGTTGTCTGCGTCTACATCGCCTTCTACAGCACAGACTATCGGCTGGTACAGAAGGTGTGCCCAGATTACAACTACCATAGCAACACCCCCTACTACCCTTCTGGGTGACCCTCGGCAGGCCACAGTGGCCAGGCCAGGGCTGGAGTGCAGGCCTGCCCAGTCTGGGGGTCATCTGTGTGGAATCTGGGCTGGAAGGGAGTGGAGAGAAGATACCAAGTGTGTCCAGGGCCAAGTCTCAAGCGGTGGGGAAGGGAGTCTCACATGCTGGTCCCCACCTGAGCTTCTGGAGTGCCTAGAGCAGAGGAGCAGCATTCTAGAACTTTCCACACTGAGGGAAAGGAAGACACTGGTCCCGGAGGTCGCTGGGGCAAGAAGACCAGTGTAGCCCCAGCTAGTCATGGAGAAGAATCTAAAACCATGACCCCCTCTTCCCTGCCATCCTGAGAAAGGACAGCAGAGAGAAGAGGGGCACTTCATCAGTGTGGAATCCAAGCGGACAACTCAGAGTGTCTGAGACTGAGCTTCCTGACAGTCAGGGTGGGCTGGGGGTTAGGAAGAATTCTCCAGTCCAGTCCAGTGGGTGGTCCTAAGCCCTTGTCTTGGACTAGCATAGCATGAGACTGACGTGTTGACCCTTGGGGTCTTTGATGTCTTGACAAATAAGTTATCTGCCTCCAACCACCCCACCCTTCCCCCAGATTCCCTGCCAGTGCTCCCCATTCCCACCCAGCCTCTTGCTATGGGGACACTTGTCCTAGAGCTGAGACAGAGAACAATCATGTTCTCCCAGCACTGGAGGCCACAGGTGGACGCCCACAATGGTACCGTACCATGCATCCTTCCCTGGCCCCACCCCCTGCTGGCTTCTCTGGGAGCTTCCTTGTCCCACAGAGTGGTCCCTCAACAGTTAGCCATCAGATTGGGGGATCTCCCAAACTGGGGTACAGTTTCCGCTCTTCCCGTGGGGCCCTCAGCAGCTTGGCGCTGGGGGAGCTAGCCTGTGGGAAGGTGCTGGATTTGTTTTATAGTGTGTTTGGGGAAGTCTTGTGATATTGCCTTGATTGTCGACTTCTGTTTGCAGAATCTTGTTCTTGGAGCAGAGAATAAAGCTTTCCTGGGACATTAGCGTCCAAGTTGTCTCGGGTTAAGGGCCTGCCCTTGCATTCCTGGTGCAGCCAGTGTTTCTCAACAAGACGACTCCTGGAGACAGGAGCGGAAGGGCCCCCACAGCTGTCCGAGCTCTGCTCCCTCTCCAGTCTCCTTTCCAGGGTATCCAATCTCATCCTGGAAAATCCGAGTGAACACAGTTTGGCGCTGGAAGGGGATGGGCTGGCATCAGCCACTGCAGCCCCAGGAGGAAGTGTTAGCAGGAGGAGCGAGCTACATAAGCGTGTTATTTGTTGCCCTCCATGAATTGTCATCTGGCTAGGCCTTGTAGGGGGCAGAGTTGGGGGACACAGGTATCCTAGCTCTGTCATTGGTTATGTGGCCTTGCTAAGTCCATTCCTTCTGGGTTTCCCTCAACTTCTTCCTCTATATAATCGGGCTTGCCTAGTCCCCCAAACCCATAGCTGATTGGATTTTGACTCACAGAGACGCTATAGAGCAGAGTAGAACTGCTTGCAGCCTTAGAGCGTCTAAGGCTGCAATCTTTACTCTTCCTCCCTGTGGAGCAGCTGGTGGATTTGAACTACCAACCCTTCAGCTAGTACTCAAACCATTGCGCCTTTGTGCCTAGTCCAGTGGTTCTCAAATGAGTACGTGTATCAGAAAAACCCAGAGTTGCTGGCCCCACCCCAGGGTTTGAATCAGTAGGTCAGGGATGGACCAAAGAATTTCAGTGGGAGGAGAGATGCTGACTCTGCCTCTAGCTCACTAGGATAGGAGAACAGCACCCCCATACACCCCAGTGTTCTTTCCCAATTGTAATTCCCATCTGTTCCTCCCTGGGGCGCCTCCTGGGGAAGGGAGCTTCCTGAGAATCCGGATATTGAGATTTCTACCTGACCTAGGGAAGAACTGGTCAGGTTAGGGTGAAGGCTGAAGGGGGCTTGGGCCAGTTCCGTCCCCAGGTGAGAGGAGAGGGGCCTCAGGATGGGTGCTCCTGCCGGTGGCACTCGGATGGAATCAGTGAGAGGAAGGCTGAAGTTTCACTTTCAAGATCAAAGTCTCCTCGGTGAAGGCTGTCCTAGGTCTGTTCTCTTGGGAGGGCAGCACCCAGGTCTCCTGGGTCCTTATTGGCGGAGTAGCCACAGCGAGGAACATCCGAGTATGATAAGGCAGTTTTCTTGGCCCCAGTCACTCAGCTTCAGTGAGGACCCCTTTCCCCTCACACACTGCAGAGCAGAGATGGGGCCTCAGATGTCACTGCAGGCCTACATTATGCAGAGTGCCCCAGGAAAGAGGAGTGGCTTGAGTCCGTCCCCCCACCCCATTCCAGTTGCTTCTCCCCCCCCCCCCCCCCATGCACCATATTTCCTGTGGCCTTCTCTCTCAAGCCAACATTTGGGACACCTCTCCCTTCCATGCCACTCTCCCTGCCCATCCTGAGGACCAGTGCTTCAAGCTCAGAGAAGTCCAGGGACTTGCGGCTGCTGGAATCCGGAGTTTCCTTCCATCTGCAGACACCAGCTGTAGGCACTGGAGGAAGAGAAGGTGCAGCAGGGCTGGTGGCCCTGGCCCATTTGTCCTGGCTGGACTGTAAGCAGGACCGGGAGGGGGACCCTCTGACCCACCCGTATCCACTCTTGTCCTCCTGGGGAGAGCCAGTTGCTTCCAACAGCTGGAGGGCCAGGCCTGCCTGCCACAGCTCTGTCCGCACAGGGTGCAGGTCCATTTTAAGAATTTTAAGAACTACATTAACACACACACACACACACACACACACACACGCTGTAGCTCAGCCCTCCTTTCCTGCCTTCCTCAGTTACTCTCCTTGGCTAGCATCTGGTGAACCGATTTCCTTCCAATGCTTTAGTGTTTGGAATGGTTTCTGGTCCCTACTATTCTTATCACCACCAGATATTTCCTGTGCCTCTTGGCCCTTTGGTATGAAATGTCTATGGCATTCCCTGGTCACCACATGGTGCTTTTAGTCCTCTGAGCTTCCACTCTTGATATTCAAGCTCTTATAAGGCAGCAGATTTCTCAGAAAGGAACTTGCCTCCTCCCTGAAAGGTTTAGGTCCTACCCTCAGCCCAACCCTGTAACCTCCCCAACCTCTGTCCCTTAGGGCAATCTGGAGACTCCGTGTACTATAGCCAGCCCCCTCAGCCTTCCCACCTTGCTGGGGAGCTCTGGAAGCCAGGGTCTGGGCCTCCTTCATCAGATTGGAGTCTCCCTGAGGGCAAGAGCTGTAATCTGGAAGAAAGGGGAATGTTTTCTCCCTAAAACTTTGCATAAAGGCACTGTCTTGGCCTCAGCATTGTTATTGCTAGTTGGGTGACTCTGCAGTGAACGTTGCTAATAAGGGAATGGATTGTAGGCCAACTGGCAGCAGCGCTGAGTCTTCTTATTGAAACTTAAGGCCAAAGTGAATGGTGTGGGCCCTCCTCCCTTTCTCCGCCCCCTCCCCCCCCCCCCATTCTCCTTTCCCAGGATGAGCAAGCGGGAACTGAGTCACCCCTTCCCCCTCCTTGGCAGGCTGCTGGTGACCTTGCATGTGGCAGGCTCTGTGGAGAGGCCCATTGCTCAGAGCTCCACAAGGTGGGTGGGTGGGGAGGGAAACTGGAGGAAGGGTGTTTATGAAAGTAGAGACAGCTGAAGGTCGAAGGGTGCCTAGGGACCTGGGTCATGGAGTGGGCATCTGTAGAGGGTGTGTGGAGGACACATGGAACCAGTTGCTCTGTGTTGGAAGCAATCCAATGTCATGGCTGGGAGTGGGAGAGAAAAATGTTACTTCCGCAGACTCGGAGTCTTGGTGCTGCCAGGAGAACCGGGGGCTGGGGTGACGGACGGGGGGAGGCATCACCAGCCCCACCAGGCAGAGGCAAGATGGGGTGGGGGTGGCACCTGCCAATTGTGCCAAAGCCCTGGAGTGACAGCTGCCACCATTGCCAAGGCACAAATGCCAAAGGAGACCTCATGCTCAGCAGTTGGGTGGGTTGATTCTACAGGGGACCCTGTATTCTGTTGGGCTGTCAAGCTCCAAGGCTGGCTTGATAGTAACACAAGCAAAGGACACCCAGTTCAAGGGTCTATGGGTGCTCGTGAGAGACAAGCTGGCACCTTCTGAACCACAGAGGCTACCAATGAGCTGACAATGTGGGTGTTGTAGGAAGCTTTGCCTGGGTTCCAATCCTTCTGTCACTTGTTAGCTGGGTGTCCTTGGACAAATGACATAACCTCCCAGAGCTTCCTTATATGTAAAACTAGGGACCACAGTACCTGGCAGCATCATTGAGAAGAAAAAATGAATTACCTAACAAATGTTAGTTCCTCTTCACTTTGTTTTCAGAGATGAGTTTGTTTCTTTCAACCTTGTTCCTGGTGTGGATAGGCAAAAGGACCCCGAGCTGGGCTTATGAATCCTGGGTTCCTGTCCTGGCTCTGCTCTGCGAGAATTGTTCCAGAATATCCATTTGTCCTTTCTCCATAGTAATGGGATCCTTGCGGGGGGCCTAAAAGAACCATTACATTTTTCTACCTTCCTAGAACCTAGGTGTGACTAAAGCCCGGTCAGTGGCTTGGGAATCAAAGAGTTACACAGCAATTTCCAGAAAATTAGGAGAGTGGACGTGACACCCTTTCCCCTGCTTTGTTCTGTCCTTCACTCTGCTGCCTGGAATCCGTGTCTGAGGGCTGCCATCTTAGGCCATGGCCTTGAGAACTAACATCATAGAGGTAACAAAGCGGTGAGCTGAAAGAAGTCTTGGTCCCTGAAAATTGTGTGACATTGAAGGTCTACCTTCAGACTTTGCTGTGAGAGACAATCAAATGTCTACTTAGTTAAGTCTCTATACCTTGGACCTCCACTTCTTGCAGTTACATCTAATTCTGATTCAAGGGATGTCTCAGAGTACTTCACTTCTGTGGACCTCAGTTTTGTCGTCTGTAGAGCTCAGATGAGGCTCGCCACACATCAGAGAGGTTTGATAGACTTACAGGCAAGAAAGAACTGACGCGAGTTCTGGTCCTCCTCCTGTCTTCAGCAT